ACGTCGCGAGGGTGCCAACACGGCCCCAGACGGGCCCAGGACGGCCCAAGGCGCGCTCAAGACGGCCCAAGACGATTCCAAGACGGTCCCAGGAGGGTGCGCCCAGGACGGCCCGAGGACGCGCCCGGTCGAAGCCTCAAGGCGGGCCAAGATGGCAAGAGAGCCCTAGCTGGCAAAAACCGTTAAATTTCCATTGTTTATTGTTGCACCCTTTTTGCGTTTCCCGCCATTTCGGCGGTCCGATGCACCAAGAGGCCCCAGAAAGTCCCAGCAGGGTCCGAGGAAACGCCCAGGAAGGCCCCAAGACGGGCCAAGACGGACCCAGAACAACCCAAGGCGCGCTGCGACGGCTCAAGCCGGCTCCAAGACAGCCCCAAGAGGGTGCCATCGCGGCCCCTGCTGGGCCCAGGACGGCCCAAGGAGGCGCACAGGAGGGGCCCAAGACGACTCCAAGGCGGCCCCCTCACGGTCCCAGACGGTTCCAAGACAGCCCCACGATAGTGCCAACAAGGACCCCGATGGGCCCAGGACGGCCTACGGACGCGCCCATGAGGGGCCCACGACGAACCAAGACGGCCCCATCACGGCAAACGGCGCCCTGAAGACGGGCCTAGACGGCTCCAAGACGGCCCTTTGAGGGAGCCACCGCGGCCCCACACCCTTCGGGCGAACACTCGGGGTGGCTGGGAGCTTGCGACAAGTCTCCCACATTCATTGTCCTGCCCGATTCTGTTCGCCTGGAGGCCTCCTCCAACCCTGTGAGCGAACAAGAGGAAACCCAGCGGGCCGCCAACCCTTGGGCCCGTGGGCCCCGCGCCGCTTGGGCAGAAGACGAACGCCGGGTCTGACAGGCCAGCTACCACCCCCCTTTGCCCCATATGCTGTGCCATTCTGTTCCCCCAGGGGTCTTGGCAAAATCTTCGGGCCAACCAGACCGGACCCCTGGGACAGCAGCCAATAGATATGACCCAGGGACCTCTCCGCTTTCTTCGGACGAGCACCTGGGGGCCCAGGAGATTCGGACAAGTCTTCCCCATTCCTCGCCCTGTCCCGTTCTGTTCGCCCGAAGGCCTCCACAGAGACTCTGGGCGAACAGAATGGGACATGGCGAACAAACCCTCCCGTTGGCGGTGATGCGACTGGATCGCACCATCAAGGCGTGCCCGGAGGTGATGGCCGACCCAACAGCGGTTTCTCTAAAGATTCTACAGACTTTCAAATTTTCTTGAAGCTCTCTTGGGCCCTCCCTGTAGATCCTTGCGAGCCTCCCCGGCGCTTTCGGTGGCTTTCCCCGATGGCCTCCCGAGCCCTTCCCTGGGCGCTCCTGAGACGCCTCAGATGGGCCTCGACTTCGACGCACATCCCCGAGAGACTTCGAAACTGCCCTCAATAGGAGGGGGGTGAACGAGCAGTGCGCTGGGCCAAGCTGCTGGAGCGCTGCAAGAGCTCGGACACGAAGGCGCGGTCTCGCTGCCGCCGCCCGAGCCGCCGCCGTGTTTGTAGATTTTAGGTACAATCTGCGCCGTTCCTCCGAGAACCATTCCAGAAAAATGTCGTGGACGGAGTCCACGGGTCAGCCCTAGTCTATACTATATGGCCAGAGGAAGCGCGTGCCGGAAGGAAATCCAGTCAAATGCTGGGAAACGGCTCCGAGACGCTCCAGAGGCCGCCCCGACGGCCCAAAGACGGCTCCGAGCCGCTCAAGATGCCCCGAAGGCGGCCCAGGAGGGCCCCGAGACGCGCAATGATCCGGCCAAGACGCCCAAGATTGGCCCAAGATTGGCCCAAGACGGCCCAAGAGCTCCCCAAGACGGGTCAATAGGCCCCCCAAGAGGCCTCCCAAGAGAGCCCCGAGAGGCCAAAATCGTTGATTTTCATTGGTCTTCCCGAGGTTTTTGCTTCCTCGCTTTTCCGGCTTCCCGACGCTCCCAAACCCTCCCAGAGGCATCCAAGACCGCTCCAAGACGGTCGAAGAGGTCCCCAGCAGGACCCCAAGACGGTCCAAGAGGGCCCCAAGACGGTCCAAGGCGGCCCCAGGACGGCCCCAGAGGCGCCCAAGACAGGCCAGTGGGACCCCAAGATGGCCCGAAGAGCGGCCCAATATGGCTCCAAGACGGCCCGAGGAACCGCCCAGAGCTCGCCAAGACGGCCCAATAGGCCTCCCAAGAGGCATCCCAGGAGAGGCCCGAGAGGCCAAAATCGTTGATTTCATTGGTTTCCCCGAGGTTTTTTGCTTCCTCGCTTTTTCGGCTTCCCGACGCTCCGAAACCCTCCCAGAGGCATCCAAGACCGCTCCAAGACGGTCGACGAGGTCCCCAGAGGACCCCAAGACGGTCCAAGAGGGCCCCAAGACGGTCCAGGCGGCCCCCGGACGGCCCCAGAGGCGCCCAAGACAGGCCAACGGGACCCCAAGATGGCCCGAAGAGCGGCCCAAGATGGCTCCAAGACGGCCCGAGGAACCGCCCAGAGCTCGCCAAGACGGCCCAATAGGCCTCCCAAGAGGCATCCCAGGAGAGGCCCGAGAGGCCAAAATCGTTGATTTTCATTGTTTCCCCGAGGTTTTTTGCTTCCTCGCTTTTTCGGCTTCCCGACGCTCCGAAACCCCCCCAGAGGCATCCAAGACCGCTCCAAGACGGTCGACGAGGTCCCCAAGAGGACCCCAAGACGGTCCAAGAGGGCCCCAAGACGGTCCAAGGCGGCCCCCGGACGGCCCCAGAGGCGCCCAAGACAGGCCAACGGGACCCCAAGATGGCCCGAAGAGCGGCCCAAGATGGCTCCAAGACGGCCCGAGGACCGCCCAAGAAGGCCCTAGGGGGCCCCAAGACAGCCCAAGGGGCGCGATAGACGAGCCCAGAGAGGCCCAAGAGGCCCCCAGGAGCCCAAAAGAGGTCCCCAAGAGGTGCCACGGGGCTTAAAAACTGCTTCGAAGCGAGGGGGGCGGACGAGGGGACCGCCTCAGGAGGTTTTGGACGGTTTTGGGCCTCAACATCATCCGCTTTACGACGGTTTTGGAAGGATTTTGGCCTTCTCGCCTTTTCCGCTTTCCGACGCTCGAAGACGGCCCAAGAGGCCTCCAAGAGCGCCCCAGAACGGCCCAAGAGGTTTCTAAGAGCGCCCCAAGACAGCCCAAGAGGGCCCCAAGACGACCCAAGAGACGCTCAAGACGGCCCACGAGGGCCCGAAGACAGGCCCAAGAGGGGGCCAAGAGAAGGACCACGGACCGAAACTCTGAGCCTTCCGCCCCAACAGGGCCAGGAGGCCCAAACAGGCCCCCAAGAGGCCCCAAGGGGCCGCCAAGAATCCCCCGAACAGGCCCCAGGAAGCTCCCAAGGAGCCCAAACCGAGGCCCCAACAGAGGCCCCAACAGCTTCCAAAATGGCCCCAAAGAGGCCTCGAGCCCGCCTCCGAGCTTCCTCGCCGCGAGGGTGCCAACACGGCCCCAGACGGGCCCAGGACGGCCCAAGGCGCGCTCAAGACGGCCCAAGACGATTCCAAGACGGTCCCAGGAGGGTGCGCCCAGGACGGCCCAAGGACGCGCCCGGTCGGGGCCTCAAGACGGGCCAAGATGGCAAGAGAGCCCCAGCTGGCAAAAATCGTTGATTTTCCATTGTTTACTGTGACACCCTTTGCGTTTCCCGCCATTTCGGCGGTCCGATGCACCAAGAGGCCCCAGAAAGTCCCAGGAGGGTCCGAGGAAACGCCCAGGAAGGCCCCAAGACGGGCCAAGACGGACCCAGCACAACCCAAGGCGCGCTGCGACGGCTCAAGACGGCTCCAAGACAGCCCCAAGAGGGTGCCAACACGGCCCCTGCTGGGCCCAGGACGGCCCAAGGAGGCGCACAGGAGGGGCCCAAGACGACTCCAAGGCGGCCCCCTCACGGTCCCAGACGGCTCCAAGACAGCCCCACGAGGACCTCGATGGGCCCAGGACGGCCTACGGACGCGCCCATGAGGGGCCCACGACGAACCAAGACGGCCCCATCACGGCAAACGGCGCCCTCAAGACGGGCATGGACGGCTCCAAGACGGCCCTTTGAGGGAGCCAACGCGGCCCCACACCCTTCGGGCGCACACTTGGGGGGGCTGGGAGCTTGCGACAAGTCTCCCACATTCATTGTCCTGCCCCATTCTGTTCGCCTGGAGGCCTCCTCCAACCCTGTGGGCGAACAAGAGGAAACCCAGCGGGCCGCCAACCCAGCGGGCCGCCAACCCTGGGGCCCGTGGGCCCCGCGCCGCGTGGGCAGAAGACGAACACCAGGTCTGACAGGCCAGCTACCGCCCCCCTTTGCCCGATATGCTGTGCCATTCTGTTCCCCCAGGGGCCTTGGCAAACTCTTCGGGCCAAGCAGACCGGACCCCTGGGACAGCAGCCAATTGATATGACCCTGGGACCTCTCCGCATTCTTCGGACGAGCACCTGGGGGGCCCAGGAGATTCGGACAAGTCTTCCCCATTCCTTGCCCTGTCCCGTTCTGTTCGCCCGAAGGCCTCCACAGACCCTCTGGGCGAACAGAATGGGACATGGCGAACAAACCCTCCCGTTGGCGGTGATGCGACTGGAACGCACCATCAAGGCGCGCCCGGAGGTGATGGCCTACCCAACAGCGGTTTCTCTAAATATTTTACAGAATTCCGAATTTTCTTGAAGCTCTCTTGGGCCCTCCCTGTAGATCCTCGCGAGCCTCCCCGGCGCTTTCGGTGGCTTTCACCGATGGTCTCCCGAGCCCTTCCCCAAGCGCTCCTGAGACCCCTCAGATGGGCTTCGACTTCGACGCACATTCCCGAGAGACTTCGAAACTGTCCTCAATAGGAGGGGGGTGAACGAGCACTGCGCTGGGCCAAGCTGCTGGAGCGCTGCAAGAGCTCGGACACGAAGGCGCGGTCTCGCTGCCGCCGCCCGAGCCGCCGCCGTGTTTGTAGATTTTCGGTGCAATCTGCGCCGTTCCTCCGAGAACCATTCCAGAAAGATGTCGTGGACGGAGTCCACGGGTCAGCCCTAGTCAGCTACAACGCTGGGATCAGCGCGTGCGGGAAGGGCGAGCAGTGGCAGCGGGCTCTGTCGTTGCTGAGCGAGATGCGGAAGGCGAAGCTTGAGCCAGACGTAATCTACGCTATAATATGGTAGGCTCGCGCGGCGTTGGCGTTCTGGCGACGCCAGCGAAGGCGTTCAAGGTTGAATTCTGCGACGCGGAAGCACCGACGGACACGGTAACGCCACTGTATCCGACCGAGGTCAACTTTGAACGGCGCGAGCCGCGATCGATTCAAATTTGAACGATCGACGCGGTGTCAAAAACTTTTGCGCGCGCCGACGCCGCGCGAACCTACCGTACTTGGCATCGTGCGTGCCCGAAGCCACCAGAGGAGCAATAACCACTACCACCAGCTCGGGGGGGGCGGCTCTGGGAACGGAGATCTGTGGAGTTCTGGCGGTAGCCGAGACCCCCGACGTCGTGACTTCCTTCACAACGTCGACCTCCAGATGTCTGACCCCTTCCTCGGGACCAGCTTCTCAGCCTGCCTCGTTTTTTCACGGTCCCGAGGCCGGGTAGGGGCCCCCAACGGCCGAACGTGGCGAATGATCCGAGGGTGAGGAGGAGGAGGAGGAGGAGGAGGAGGAGGAGGAGGAGGAGGAGGAGGAGGAGGAGGAGCAGGAGCAGGAGCAGGAGCAGGAGCAGGAGCAGGAGCAGGAGCAGGAGCAGGAGCAGGAGCAGGAGCAGGAGGAGGAGTAGCAGGAGGAGGAACAGCAGGAGGAGGAGCAGCAGGAGGCGGAGGAGGAAAAAGGGGAGGAGAAGGAGGAGGAGGAGGACGACGACGACGGGGAGGGCGAGAAGAACGAGGAGGACGAGGAGGACGAGGAGGAGGAGGGCGAGGAGGCGAGAGAGGACGAGGAGGCAGACTGCAGAGGCGGAGGAGGAGGAGGGAGGAGGAGGAGGAGGAGGAGGAGGAGGAGGAGAGGACGAGGACGAGGATGGGGTGGTAGTGGCTCTTCCTGCTGTCGTGCTAAATGGGCTTCGGAGCTCTCCCGGCTTCGGCCCCGGGCGGCTGCGCCTCCCCCCGGCGGCTGCTCCGAGGGGCGCCGCCTCTCCTGGGCCCGAGAGGGCCCCAGACCTCGGGGAAACGCGTCTCCTCCCTCTCGAAAAGGCCTCTGGGGAGGCCTCTCCTCCTCCTCCTCCTCCTCCTCCTCCTCCTCCTCCCTCCCTCCTCCTCCCTCCTCCTCCTCCTCCCCCTTCTCCTCCTCTCCTCCTCCTCCTCCTCTTCCTCCTCCTCCTCCTCCTCCTCCTCCAGGAGGAGGGAGACCTCCTCTCCCCCCCCCGTCGCCCGACCCGAGATGCCAAGATGCCAGTCACCTCCGTCGGCGTGGTACGAAAGAGGTCGACTTCACGCCCCGCTGCAGCTCAGTGGTTTGTCTGAGCTGAGGCAGGTCGCGATTGCGACCTCGAATTGGTCCGCGCGGTCGGTGGGGGGAGGTCGAATTCACTCTCCGCGGCCGTTCAGCGAGTGGTTTGAAGTGAGGTGGGTCATGATCTCGACCTTGCGTCCGTCCGCGGGGTGCTGTAGGAGGAGGAGGAGGAGGAGGAGGAGGAGGAGGAGGAGGAGGAGGAGGAGGAGGAGGAGAAGGAGGAGGAGGAGAAGGATGAGGAGGAGGAGCACGAGGAGGAGGAGGAGGAGGAGGAGGAGGCGCAGGAGGAGGATGAGGAGGAGGAGGAGGAGGAGGAGGAGGAAGAGAGGGGGGAGGAAGGAGGAGGATGCCACTTGAGGCTATGTGTTGGGCATCCTGGGGGCCTCCAGGGGGCCTTTTAGTAGCGGCCTCTTGGGGCCGTCTGTGGTATCTTTTGGGCCTCTCGTGGCCCTGGGGCTGTCTTGGAGGGTCTCTTGGCCTGTCTGATGCCTCTGAAGCCGTCACGGGGGCTTCCCTCGGCCGTCTTGCTGCCTTGTGGAAGCGTCTTAGGGCTGTCGTGGGACACTCTTGGGAGGCGTTTGGGCGATCTTGGGGTCCTCTTGGGCCGATTCGAAGCGTTTTGGGGGGGCTCTCACGGGCTGTCTTGGAGCTGTACAGGGGACTCGGAAATCCCCGACGAGGTCGTCAAAAAAATGACGAGGCCGAGCCTGCATTTTGACGAGGCCTCCCGCTGCAGACATCCCACGAAACTCCTCCTCGTCAAAATCCGAGTCGCGGTCGCCAAAAAACAATGGCGAACCCGAGTCCTGGCAAACCCGGGTCTTACGCTCCCCCGAATCTTGAAGGCCTCTGAGGCCAGTTTTTGGGCGGTCGGAAACCCAAGCAAGCAGGCGAGAACCTTGAAATCGTTGAACAACCTACGGGGAATGAATCGTTTTTGCTTCCTCGAGCGCCTCTTGGAACCCTCCGTCTTGGGAACTGTTTGGGCAGTCTTCGGAGCCTTCTGAGCCGTCTTGGGCCCTCTCGAGCCGTTTTGGTGAAGACTTGGTTGTCTGAAAAGGCGTCTTGGAGACCATACTGGCCGCTTGGAGGCCGAAAAGGCAGCCAGAGAGTAATTTCAGAGAAAGCGATTTCCAAACCACGCGTTGGCAGAGGGGGGGGATCGGGGAACCGGCGTTAGAAGACGAAAGACGCTTCCCGGACAACAGCAAGCACGTCAATTCGCTCACTGGGCGCAAGGCCCCGTGGCGGATCGTACCTCGTAGATCGCACCACATACATTGCACAACACAGGCTGCACAAGCGACTTCTTTTTTCCAGAAACGATCTAGACTCTACACCCCTACCCCTCCCGGGACTGAACGGTACCCCTTCGCTTACTGTGTGTTTCATACAATCTTACCCTCGTCCATCCTGAATCTGACTTTATATGATCCGAGCACAACCCGTATCCCCCTCCTCATCCTCGGCCAAAAACCTATTCGCGCGCACTCGTATGTAAAAAAAACATGAGTTTGCAGATCCACTTACAATAATGCAAGACATGAGACGCAGTGCGCTCGCGAGCTTCGGTGCGCGCGCATGCCGAAACCTTTTAAAACATTTGAAGTGTCGTAAGGACTCCAATGCCGGGCGCCCCGAAAACGTATGAGAACACATGGTTTCGCAACAAGGATTTTCAAACAAGCCTGTTCCCGCGTCCCAGCAAATTCTCAAGAACACCATGTTTTTCAACCTGATCATCATATGCTGCCAAATGGGCCTCTTGCGCGCGAGTGTCGGAATCGCTCGAGCGTCTTTGCGCCCGTGTTGTCGCAAGCATCTTTTGCAACAAACTGGACGAAATGCACGCGCACGAGTCGTCGCGTGCGCATGCCAGAACCGAGTGTCCAGAAGCATATACAAATTTAATGGTTTTGCAGCATCAATTTTCAAAAATGCTTGCGCTCGCGCTCCTGTGATTTCTTCATAAGAAGACAACAGTCGTTGATTTGTCTTGCTTCTTTTTCAACCAATGTTTCCAATCGGTTATGTCAAACGGGCCCCTCGCGACGCACGTCGAAATCATTCGAACGCCCTTGCGCGCGTTTTGGGGCGGGGACACGATCCGTGTCACATGATATCATGTGGGGCACTCGCGCGTCGGCCGCGCGCGCATGTCTAACTCCCTCCAAAACTTAATCACCGACGCGGGGGCGCCGTCATCGTCGTCAGCGTGATCAGCATCGGCGCCGTCACTGGCCTTGTCGTCGTCGTTGTCACCAGCGTCACCAGCATCGCTACCATCATCATCGCCTCTACCGTTGTCGACATTGCCATGATACCGCGGCCGCCAAAGGCGCCGACTCGCATTGAACTTCCCAGTGGGGGGTGCCCAGCGGTCAGCGCCACCGCGGCGGCGTTGGCAGCGCCAAACTATCTGGCCGTTGTGCGCGCGAGCATGCGCGGGCTAGCGCGGCCGCAGAGATGCACCAGCCAATGCCAAGCACTCGTCGCAACCGCCGCCACATGGCTTTTGCAAATTAAGTTGCGGGTGTGCGAAAAGGGGTCGTTTCGCGATCAGTGCAGTGGGCAACTCACTTCGAGCAGACATGCACCACATAGGCCGTACCACATGCACGACTTCACACAGGTTGCACAGCGTATACGGCGCAACATAGGTTACATCACTTTTGCTGCACAACGTATACTGTGCTACACATATTACACATCATTGATTGCACCACGTATATTGCACAACCCATTTTGCCAGAAACGCTTATTTTGTTAACGCAGGCGAACATATCCATATGGTTAGAATCAGCTGCATCTACTTGCATGGTATTCATGTGTATATGTGCGGTCGTGAATATATACATCTATGTGTATATACATACATCTATGCCGCCCCTATATCGTCGTCCTTTGCCCCTCTCGCTGATCGTTACTCTGTCTTGCTCGCGCGCCCCTTGCTCATGCCTGCTCTTTCCGTCAACCTCCTCGCATCTTCGTCCTGCCAGCCTCAAGAGTGCCCCTGGGAACCCCGCGACGGCGAGTTACTCACTCCCTCCTCACGGATCCACCTCTCCCCCCCTGTTCACTCCTTGCTCGTTTCTTTTTCCTCGCTGTTCGGGCCTCGGGCCCGTCGTCAATATGAACCACATCTATACTGCAGTACCGAGCTCAGCGCTGGTCGAAAAGGGGGGACATTGGCTCCGCCCGTTGGGCGCTGCGGTGGCGGCGCCTCCACGGGCCACCTGCCCCGAGAGGGCTCCGCGAGTGGGCCAAAAACCCCCCCCAAACAAAAACGCCCCTCTGCAGCGCGAGAGGGCCCCCCGACAGCCCGCGGAGGCCCTCGCCTGTTTTGCACGAGGTTCCCTTTTCTGGCATCCGAGAGGGCCACGAGGACGAAACACTGTGGTTTTTGTATCTTTTCTGCGCGTTCCCTCTGCGACCGCTCCTCTGGCCACAAAGCACGCGAAACCCGCCCCCGGAAGCTTCAAAATTCTTCTTGGGGGCGCCCAGGGCGCCCCGAAGAGAGCCCAGGGAAGTTCCAGGACAGCCGAGCAGCCACCCAAGACGGCCCCAGGGTAGGCCCAACAGGGCCATTTCTGGAGCGCTCCACGCCCCTCCCGCCCCCCACTGCCAGCAAGCCCCCAAGAAGCCCCCCCAGAGGCTCCCGGACGGCCTCCGGGACGCTCCGAGGGCTCCCAGAAAGCTCCCAGCAG